CTGGAAGCCAACTCACTGAATTTGCTCTCGTAGCTGTAGTCTGATCCACCCCCGCCCCCGGGGGAGCTGTAGGAGTTCGAGTAGGAGGAGTAGTTGCCTTGTCCATGGTTATAGCCCTTCTGCTTGCCCTGTGGGGGGCCATAGTTGCCGTACTGGCCCTGGCTGTAGGACTGCTGCTGGCCTTGGTGGGACTGGTAGCCCGAGCCGTAGGAGGGCTTCTGCTGGCCCCCATGGGGCTGCTTCTTCCCAGCGTGTTTCGGGGGCACTGGTGAGTTGTAGTTGTCGCCTTGGTAGTAGGAGCCGTAGCCGGAGGAGCCACCACCGCCCCCGCCGCCGCCACCACCGGCATTCCCCGAATGCCCTCCGTTGCTGTAGAACTGACCTAAACAGGAAGGCAGCGGGTCAGGCGGAGGGTGGGGGACACAGGTTGCGGGGGGAGACAGGGAGGGTGGCAGCTGTGGGTCCTGAAGGCTGACCCACAAGCCCGCGGCCCGTGCCGGGGCGGAGGGACAGAGGCAGGAGAGCGAGGAGCTGTGGCTCCAGTCCTTCAAGCAGCCCGGTCTGGATGGGTCCAGCCTTCAGCGCCACTCCCCCAGCAGCTGAGGACAACAACGGATCCTTGCCAAGCAGCGGCAGGACAGCGCACCCACAGCAGCTTTCGCAGCGGATGTCAACATTACAATGAGATGAGCTCTGAGCGCGAGATGACATTCAAGACTAGCTGACTGTTACTCAAATGTCCCCAACGGTGACAGGGAAAGCAAAGCCCCAGAGAAGCAGCTGGCCACCCCCAACATCCCCCCTGCTGTGCTGGGAAGAGGCTCTGCAGTCACAGGCCTGCGGGAACCCCGAGAGATGCTCTCTGACAAGGCCCCGGAAACTGGTGAAATTCCTGGATGAACAGCCGGTCTAACATGGCTCTTGGAGGAGTAAACGGAGAGTCAGTCAAGTGACCTGGGGCATCTCCCCGGTGTGACCTGCGCAAACATAGGACTTAAGGAGTGATTCTCATGGCGGGAAAGGAGGCTGGCTAAGAAGCTGGGGACTGAACATCCAAGCCAGGCCTCCAGCTACAGCCGCAGACGCCCCCCCAGAGGGCCCCTCTGTTCCCAGCACAGCTGCCAGGGGCAGGCAGACCGAGCGTGAATTGACAAGCGTGCAGGGAGGCCGCCACATTCTCAGACCCTGAAACTGAGAATGTCACAGCAAGACCCTCCCTCTGGCCCTACGTGTCGATCCCATCCCACGAGAACAGGTATGTCCGCACCCTGCGCCCACCAGACACTCAGGTGGGCCGATGGGGGATGGGTCAGCTAAGCAAAGGTGGGAGGAAGGGGAGGCCGGGCCACGTGCGGGCTCTCAAGCCCAGCAGAGCAATCCCCAGAGCTCACACGCGGGCAGTGGGGCTCCTGGCTCCTGGAGCAGGTAGGGGGACCTGTGGGCACACCTTTGCTGGTTGGTGCCACCTCTTGTCTACAGACAGCCCGGAGCTACCCCGCTGTGCCCAGGGTGGGCGGGAGGGGGAGGGGACCCTCCCACACAGCCTATCCTTCCTTCCCATGTTTAGCACCAAGGGTTCCCCCGCCTTGTGGGCAGCGTGAATTTGGGAGTCATCGATTGCCTCCCACCAGCGGGAGATGTGCACCCCACACTGCCAGATCTTGGACTGCTGGAACAGTAATTTGGATAAAACTGATCTGTGACATCAGTTTACTCGCTTCAGGCGGCCTCCTCCACCCCTCCACCCGCCCCCATCACAAAGCCAAAACACCAAGGAGAGAGACACGGTCCACAATGCGAGAGCGCACACATGCGAAGGCCTGGCAAGGGGGCTGGAGGACAGGAGGTCCGCCTCAGACCCCCTCTCAGAACCCCGCCACCTCAGCCGCCCCACGGCCTGAACTGAGCACCTCAGCGCCCCTCCTCAAGCACAGGAATGAATGAAGACGCCAAGTACTGAGGACTTGTTACTTTAACATGTATTGATTAAAAAAAAATAAAGGGAAGGAGAAGTTTTCAACGTCATTTCAGGATAACTATTTCCTGGTATAAAAAGACATTATTCTCAAACAATAACGTTCTAAAAAAAAAAATACATCATGCAAAGTTTTAAAAAGTTTCACTGAATGTTTCAAACCTCTGGGAACAAATTATATAGTAACCGTTTTGACCATTTTTTGCCTGAAGAAACGCAAAATCTTGCAAGTCAACGCAAAGACAGGCTTTGCCGCACAGGACTGCTGCTGACCAGAGCCCAACAGTGCTCTTTCCAGAAGGGCCTGCCACTGGGAAAAGTTAGAAACCCCAGCCTGCACCCTAAGGTGAGAGGGCAGAAGATTCCAGGCCTTCTGGAATCTATCATAGCTGCACACCCAGCAGCACGGACCCTGTGAGGCCGGCTCCTCACTGGAGAATTGGGCTATGTATTAAGTCTTTCTGCTTAATTATTTTAAAGCCCACTACAACAAATAAACTCTAGAATCCCATGCATTTGCAGCTGTGACTAGGACTTGCAAAATTCCACGTTCTCTCTCCCTTAAAGCCTGTCTGTTTCCTGCACTAATAATGGAAGCACAGTTTTGATACCTTTGAGAGTTCACCTCTAACTAAACCAGCCACAAAATACCGCACCCCCAAACAAGAACCCACCAGAGCATTTACAAAAGGCGGGAGAGATTAACTTAGCACAATGTACAATTCTCAATGTTCCCAACGTTTTACAAGCTTATTTAAAAAAAGGAAGGAAAAAAAAAAAAAAAACAGTTGCTCTGGATTCAGATGTGATAAAATCGTTTTCATTACTGTCAAAGGCATCAACCAGATGTGGGAATTTGTTAAAAGGTTAAAAATTCATACAAAACCTGCTGTAAATTAAGACAAAGGTAGATTAAAATGCATCATTATCTGTCTCTTAAATAAAGTAATGCTTTCCATAAAAAGCAAAGGTGGGCTTTTGCCTTGATGCTGACCAACGCTGACTCTAGAATTCTGTGCAATTCTGCACAAAACTGCGTTCTCTGAAAATTGCTTTCCACTTATTGTGAACTTCAATATGACCAAGTTCAAAGGCAAATCACGATAAAAACTGCCATTGTCTTAAATTCTGCAGGCTAAGAGTTTCAGACAAGCTGCGGTGACAAGCCACGGTTGAGAAACCCAGTGAAGCACAGGGGCACAGCACGGACACTTTGGGTTTTGGAGTTCGAGAAAATTGGAGTAAAAAGTTGATTTTGTGTGCAATACTTTTAGATGCTCTAGGAAGACCCAAAATCATGATAGCCGTAGCAGTCTGTGAAAAAGTCACCTACAAAAGGGGGAGACAGAGCAGAGAAAAAAAATTAGAATTCTTTTGAAAAATGGCACAGAGCGCCACATTTGAAATTCATGTTTTAGATTTCTCTGCTCCTGTAACCCCCCAATGAAGGCTCCTTCTCAAGACAAGAGCTGTGCACTGTCAGGAAAAGCATCATCACAGGACTGGTGCTTCACATGGCTTAAAGCAGAGAAATTTAAAATTCTGACTCTTAAGGAAATTTCAAGGCACACAAATACGTGTGTCAACATTTAAAGCACAAATTACACTTCTGCAGCACAGGGCAGGAGGACCGTCTGCTCTAATTACTGAGAAAAGCTGTGGGCCACTCCTCAACCTCAGGGAGGCTGCTGCGGGTGGGCTGCCCTCTCCTAACTCAGGCGCGGGAGCTGAGCTGTAGCTTCTCCCCAACCTCAGACAAAGAGAAACACACACTTACTGTAGCCTGCTGTTGCCGAGTTGCCTCCATACCCATAGCTGCCATACCCAGCGCCTGGAAAGGAACACACAGGGTCACGGGGGTGGCAGATAAGTCTGCCCTGCCCCTGCCTCTCCCACCGTCTCAGCCCGAACCCAGGGGCCCCACGTGCTCCAGGGAGCCAGTGGGGTCTGCGGGGACGACACAAGGCCAGGGTCCTCACCAGCGTTCATGTAGCCTCCATGGTTGGCGCCACCAAATCCTCTCCCTCGACCTCGACCTCGGATGTTCCCTCCTCTTCCCCGCCCTCGAAGGTTCGGGGGCGGGGGCACTTCATTGTGCATGGGGCCTCCCATGCCAAACCCAGGGTTATGTGGCTGCAGGGAGAGAACAGAGACGAGCGGCGTTCACCTCCCACTCTGACCACAGGAGAACTCGGGCAAAGGCCAGAGATGGCGAGGCCAACCGCTTACCTTAGCAGCAAATTTCGGTCCCCCCCTGACGGGCACAGGGGCTCTCTTCTTCTTGTTGGCCTCCAGGGCGAGAGGAGCATCAGGGAACAGCTTTTCTAGTGCGGCAAGAGCGGCATATGCTTTTGCCACCTTTTTGTTCGAGCCAGCACCCTGAAATTTCTGTCCATCCACCTCGACCTGGGAAGAACAGACGCATGTCAGGGTGGCCCCGTGCCTCCCCCCGGGGGCAGGAGTTAACTCCTGGGTTGCTGGCTGCTCACCTCCATGACAAAGCGCTTGTCGTGGCTGCCCCCGGTCTCGGAGATGAGCTCATACTTGAGGCCACGCCTCTTTTCGTTAAGTTCCATAACAGGGTTCTTGCCATGCTTGGTCAGGATCGGCCCCTGCTGTTTTACGTTCTCAGGGAAAACAGAAAAGAAAACAAAAAAACTCAGCTAAGGGCTTTCCAGCAGGTGGAGAAGGGCAGCTGCCCCCAGACATGACAGAGGCCCTCCACTCCATCTTCCCTGCTGTCCCTCACTTCCCTCACCTCCCAGCCTTCAGAAGTCATCGGAGGGCGTCCAGCAATGGGACCGCCTCCACCAGCACCCTATCTCTGGGGAATGGCCTGACTTCGGCTGAACACCATCCCACTGCAGCCCCGGGGGCTGGGTCAGCATCAGCAGGGGCCCTCGTGGTGGCGGCTCAAAGGCTCACCCCCAGCTCCCTGTGCAGGCCCCTGTACTGGAAGCTACCCCTGCGGGGGAAGTAATGAGAACCAGCCCACGCTGGTTCACAGGACACAGAGCTGCCCGCGGCATCCCGTCGGGCACGCTGGCCCCCACCACGTGCTCACCTCGGCGGTGGGATCAGAGGGGAAGGCAGTACTGGGGGTCGAAGCAGCTTCCACCACAGGCGGAGGGGCCACCACGGCCGGCTTTGCTTCCGTCTCTTCAGCGGAGTCCTCCCCCTTGCTAGAGTCTCTGCCTTCTGCGCCGGTAGGCAGGCCCATGTCCTGTAACACCTGCCGGAGGGACACCCACGAGACTCCCCAGTTAGGGATGGGGACTCAAGCACCAGGGTCATCTACGCAGACCTCGCCCCATCCCCCGGATCCCGAACCAGCAATCTGAGGCTGCCCCCCACCCCCAAATCCCTGACGCCCAGCTACATTCAGGGACTCTCTGCCTGTCAACCACAATGATGAAGCGATCCTTCCACTTGTGACTTGGAAGACATTTAAAAACTACTCATCTCCGTGTTCACACGCCCTCCCTAAGCCTGGTGTTGTCCATGCTGAGGGTTTCTATTGCCCAGGACTGCTCGAGAGGAGCTCCGAGGCAGAAGCACTTTGCCGCACGGTGAACAAGCACGCGGTGCTTGACCCCTGCCCATGTTTACCTTAACGGCCACGTGCAGCTTGGCAGTCTTCTTGGATGGCCCAGAGGCCTCAAATGAGTTGCCATCCACCTCCACAGACATGGTAAAGATGGGAGCATGGACCGGACCGGTCTGGGAAACCAGCTTATACTGCAATCCCGGCTTCAGCTGGTTGAGTCTCATGAGTGCGTTCATAGCTTGGGGAGGCTCTGCCTTCTCCTCTGCAGAGACAGAACACCAACAGGGTTCCAGACCATCAGTCAGCGCTCCCCGGCTGGTGGGGAGGAATCACCCCGAACCCACTCCTGTGGCACGGCATGGCACGGCACAGCACGGCGGCCTGGACGCCTGCCCTGGCCAAAGCCTCACCCGTGCTGCTCCCAGCATGTCCACCCCACTTGCATTCCAGACCCACACTAGAGTCAGTCAAAGACGGCTGCCATGAGAAAACTAAGGCAAAACGCAAGCATCTCACCACTCTGGGACTCTTAATTGAGCCTGAAGACACACTACGGACCAGAAACAAACACCAGTACCTTTCTTCTGAATCTTCTTCTTCTTTTTGCTGGGAGACTTCTCCTCCCCATCTTCTTCCATCGGGCGTTTCATGGGCGTAATGGCATAGGTGGTGCTGGGGGGGATTTGAACTGAAGGAAGAGATCACAACAGAGAAGGCTGAGACTCCCTCCCGTGCTCCTGCCAGCAGATCACGCCAACACCAGCAGGCTGGGGCCAGGCCCCCGTGGCGAGCTTACCTGTGTAGTCCACTGGGTTTTCATTCTTTGGTTTCTTGGGCATCTTAGAAGGCAGGGGGTCCATACCCAGAACTTTATGGAGCTGGCCAAACGCAGCAAGTCGCAGAGCATGCTGGAGAAGGGGAAGAGGACCTGACTCAGCCGCCCTGTGCTCCCCGCCAAGGTGTGTGTGCTCGCTAATGCCTTCTGGAAGGGGTGGGAGCTGAGGGGATTGCTAACGGTCTCCCTCACAACAGCAAGGGGTCCCCCAACAGCCAGAGGAGGGCCTGACTGCCAGGGCCCAACCTTGCTGTGGGGGAAGGCCTGCCTGTGACCACCCCCCTCAAGAGGAATACAGGAGACCCCAACCTGGGGACTGGTTGCCACACGGAGCCACGTGGTGGGCCTGCAAGGGAAGGACCCTGGAGCAGTGCACACAGTAAATACATCTCCCCGCTGAACTCGGTGTCCAAAAATAGCACTCGAGCAGGCTGAAGGAACAGGAGACAACCACGCGTGGCACCAAGGGAAAGAAGCAGCCCAGGTTGGGGCGCCCTGTATCAGGCACAACCCCTTCTCCTTCGGTCCCCAACCTGAGCCTACAAGTCCAGTGGCTACCCTGAGAATACCCAGTAACGGAACTGGAAGCCAGTGATTACAGACTGGGTAAGGGCTCACGTTGGCAATGGCGATGACTATACCTGCGCACTCTGTGTGATATCTTCCCGTTGCTGTCTGTCTAGATGCCCAATAGCATCAGTGGCTTCTTTTTCACAAGGGTCATAAATGCCAGAACCATCTGAAGGCAGGAAACAAGGAAGATATGCAGAGGATTATCTTTTAGCATCTCGGAAGAGTTGTGCTGGCTGAGGGGACCAGGTGCGTTACCCCCCACGCCCCATCCACACCCAGCTCTGGAAAACACGCTGAGCTCGGTGACCCACTCGGCGTCCAGCCCATGAGAGAAATAATTCACGTGTCTCAGAGCAAGGAGCTCGCGTGGGAGTGGGTCACCACCGCCCTGGATCCGCCCTGAGTCACAGCTGCGGAGCCGGCACAGGGCTGGATATGATGGTGCAAGAGGGGAGTCGCATGCTTCGGCCCTAGGGGGACACGGGGCTGCTGCTGCCCTAACCCGGTCAGGGGAACCGCCAGGAAGTGGCCTCGGGGCCTCAATCCCTGTCCTTTCCCTGCAACCTGCAAAGCACAAGGCCCCAACCTGGCATCACGATCCCCGACGCCAGGCACTCCAGCACTCTCCGCAGGGCCTCGCCGGCACCCATTGGTCTGTTGGCTGTGCCGATGGATTTCTCACAGAGAAGCTCAAGGGGCTGAAAGGCAAGAGGGACAGTTAGCGCCACTGTCCAGGAAGCGATCGGCCGATGCTGAGGAGCTGTCACTGGGTAGGTGTTTTTTGGCGGGGGGGGGGGGGGGGGGGGGGGGGGGGGGGGGGGGGTGTCTAAGCCCTCCAATTTCACAAGTTGGGGGCGTCAAAGCCCTCAAGATCACAAGCTAAGGATGAACCAAAGTCAGGACAACTAGAGCCCGGCTTGGTGACTTTTCCTTAAAAGGATGAACACTGAATCTGTCAGACTATGTGAGCCAAGAGGCAAAGCAGAAACTGTTACCTAGATACTTATAGATTTCTTACACAGCCACTTCAAAATACAAAAACCAATCTTAACTATGGGCTGTTGACAGACAGGCAGCTGGCCAGAACTGGCCTATGGGCCCCACTCTGCTGACCCCCATCCATGAGAAGCTTTAAAAATGCTTCTTCACAGTAAATGTGCTGCCTGGCCAGCGCCCTTCCCTAGGCTGAGCTACGTGTCCACCATGGCGGGCGGTGGGGAGTGGGCATGGACATCCTGGTCTAGCTCTTACCCCTTGCCCGAGGTATGGCACAAAGTAGTTCTCAATAAATGGCTAATAAGGGATGCAGTGGCCACGGCCTAGAGGGCCACTCCAGCCTGGTTACTGTAACATATTCCTGGGATACGGGAGAAGACTCTACACACACAAACCCCAAGTGGCAACAGCTATAAGGTGCCTTACCCATCCTCTGAGGGGACCCCAGGTGGGCACGCGGGTACATAGGTCCCTCAGGACCCGGATGACAATGACACACGACTTCAGCCCGTTGGCTCTGGCCTAGAGAACAAAGTACAGGCTCTTTACACCAAGGAACCTCCCTTAAATACAAGGCAAACATGAAAAACACAAGTCTCAGGGTGCTACTTTGTCAAGGGTAAACGGTGAACGGTCAAGACCATCAAGTGTGTGGTCAGCAGTGGTTTCACCGGGTGGACAAGAACAATGTTACTCTTGGCACAAAGCAGCAGCAGCCCACCTACTCAGTCACAAGCCTCCTTTGGGGACATCAAATTTTTCTAAGCGCGCTCCGTTAGCAACTGCACACCAGCAGGTGCTAAGTTCGGCACAGCGGTCTTCAATGTTACCGAAACTTTATGGTGAAAGTTAGCCAAGTTAAAACTTAGGAATTCTCTACCAAAAGACAAATAGAAGAACAAAATGCAAACCTGGAACCACTTGGCGTGTCGGAGGGACGCCAAGGCAGCAAGGCATTTCTGCCTGTCCAGAACGTCCGGGGGATCGTTGACTGATAGCGTTTCTATTCATGGATGGAATAAGAAGACAAGGTACAGTTTGACCAAGGGGTTTCTGTCAGGTGGAAAGGGGATGTGGCAGCTTCCTAAAGGGCAGCTGAGGCTCCCAGAATCTCAAATCATCTCCACCCTAGACCAGGGAAGGAGAAGCTAGAGTGCATTTAACTCTGCCCTGAGGAAATCGTAAAAATCGGAGGCCCCTCCAAAAAAAAAACAAAAACAAAAACAGAAGTGGGAAGTTACTCTAAAAGGAATAATCCCATGGAGGGGAAGGGGACAGATAGGTGGATCCTATCTTCTAATAGACAATTACCTTGCTTCCTCCCCATGAGCTCCCAATAAATTAGCTATGCTAAAAATTTCAATAGCAAAAATCCCCCCCAAAAAAACAAAACCAAAAAAACAAAAAACAAAAAAAAAAACAAAAAAACCCCCAAAAAATAAAAACAAAGCAAAAACCCCCCAAAAACAAAAACAAAAACACCATAATAGGTGGGGGGAGTGGAAATGAACTCCCTCTCTGCTTCCCACAACGGCCATCCCCTGAGGCATCTGCAGCAAAGGGGACCACCTCCGCCCACCAGGCGGGACTGCCCTAGCCCCAGCCCTTGACAGAGAGAGTCCTGTTGGTCAAAGGTCCAGCGTCCCTAAATCGATAATTGGAATCAGGTATGAGAACCAAAGGTAATCAAAGAATAGCAACAAGGGCGCAAGGTGTGAGCCTCTGCTGCAGCAGAACTGGGGCGCGTCACCGCCGCCCCCCGCGTGTCAGGAGTTTGGATAAGGCCTGCGACCACCCCTCTGCGCTGCGAGAGCTCGGATTAAAAACAGTCTGCACGCAGAAGAGACACCAGAGGGGCCCTTGGTGGCCTCTGAATTACGAAAGCGTTATGAGCCTCTGAGATTTTTGGTTTTGCAAGTCACACGACTGTTTACAACTTTATCCAAAACTCTGTAGCAGCTCTTCGCATTCCAATCCCAGCAGCTGATTAAAGCGGCCCCTGGAAGCGGACGAGCGAGGCGGCCCTCGGTTCTGCTGTGGCACAAGCTGTCTGCACGACTCCAACGTGATGTTCATGCAGAAACCATCTGGTTGTCTTCCAGAATTTACAAGCCATATAAAATCACCAGGGACACACTTTTCCAAGGCCAGAGAACGCTCAACAGAAAAACCAAGTTAACACTGATGAGAACACTCAAGGATTCAGAAAAAAACAAAAAAACGGTGCAATCCTCTAAGAAAAGTGCTACTCACTTTTAGTGCAACTGTTTTGTCAAACTCCCAAGTGCTGAAACTGCACGGGAGACGGGGTCTCAGAGTACAGGTGGTCAAAGCTACACCAACAGCCTTTTACCAAAGCAGTCTAAAACTGAATAGCACGTTTGCCTGGTGAGGGCACACCAAGTTTCCACAGTCCTGCTGGCCTTTCTCAGCCTCCCTACCTCCAGCTAATACTTTCTCCATTTCTTCTCTGACAACGGGAGATGTCAGATGGATGGTCAGGGACAATGGAGGCTCTTTTGTGTTTTTTATCACAATTGCAGCATCGTCAACAGACTGGAGTATTTCGTACTTGTCTTCTGTGACCGCCTACAAAAGAAAATGCAACTTTCAAACACACTTCCTCCCCAAGGCAGGCCATCAACAGCTGTGCCTTGCGGGTTACCCCAGCACACGTGGCAGCTTCTTGGGTGGAGACAGGACAGCGGTGCCTTCATCTAGGGGATCGGGACCTCCCTCCTGCCCACCAGGTCTCTGGCCATTTTCTGGGTACTCCAGAGCCGAGGTCTCTAACTACGCAGAGAAGTCATTTTTCACGGGGAGCTTTACAATGCAACACCTCAGGGTCTGGGAGAAGGAGACGAGGGTGTGAATCCTCATTGTGTCGCGTGGGAGTTGTGTAACTCTGGGCAAGTCACTTCATCTCATTGAGATACTGGTTTCTAATGTGTAAAATGGAATTCGTGACAAGACCTACACCACCAGGCTGCAGGAGGCTTACACCGACACTGTGTGCAAACACAACCCCCAGCACAGAGGAACCCACTGCTAGGAGCGGGGGGCAGCCATCAGTGTGGAAAGAGACGGTGTAATAAGTGATTTGTGTCACAGGACGCATACACAGAAAAGCACATACTTGCTGCTAATGCGTGTGTCTATAAAACAATGTTCACCTGGCTTCTACTTTCTCCTTTATACCAGCTTATGTGCCTTAATCAAGAAAATTCAAACTATATTGGTTTTTGTGAGGGGAAACATAAAGGCACTAACATGTTGAGGAGAGGACAAATGCAGAATGAAGAACCTGGGGTTTTTCTCCGCCTCAGCACCAGGGACCCCCCGGGCTACGGGGACAGCCTCTGCCCTGTGGACACTGAGCAGCCACCTCTGGCCCCCACCCAGCGGAGATCAGCAGCACCCCACTCCCCCTGCCGTGACAACCAAAACTGTCTCCAACTCGCCAAACGTCCTCTGTGAGGGCAAAAATCGCCCCAGTCAAAAACCACTAATCTGAATCAATAAAAATACACTCTATTTGTATCTTTCTTCAAAGACTTTACAAAAGAGAAAAGAAGTCTTTCCTTTGGAAACATTTACAACAACGCAATTTTCATCAACAAATATACTTTTTATAGACATGGATTAAAATTAACATAAAAATGACCACCAAAACAGAAAAGTTAGGGCTTCATCAACCTGAAACCTGGCTCTCCAGAAGTACCTACTGTACTGCATTAGCTCCACACTCAATTCTGACCTCTATCCCAAATCCCAAGTTATCAGGCACATGGGAAAAAGGGGGGGGAAAAAAAAAAAAAAAAAGTCTATGTTTACATTTGAAAATGAACAGTGTCTTTCCCTAAGGAATTCCACTTCTTGGTTTTGTTTTGTTATTCTTCTGCTAATCCTGTTGCTGAATCAAGGGTGAATGTGTCCCAAGGAGGCAGCCAGCACACAGTGGTGACGCATGGAGGTCCTGAAACCCCCGGACCCACAACCGGGGGTCCTGGGATCAACTACTCAGCTCCTCGTACCCCAGTGACATCTCCTGAAATACTCGGACAACAAAATCCTATCTTAAAGGATCATTACGAGGAGGAAACTTATAAACACATATAAATAAATACATATACGTAAGAACACCAACAGCACGCCTGGCCCAGAGTCTAGTATAGTAAATAATAAATGCACAAGAAATGTTGAGGGTATTATTTATGCAACACTTTGGTAATGAAACACATAAGCTGGTTTTTAAAAAGCTCTTGTGTCCAGTTTTGGATCAGGGAGGAAGAGTTAATCATTGTACCTTCTACCCAACCCTCCGCATACTCGCCCATCCACCCCACTGGATGGAGCGCAGACTTAGGGCTCCAGTCCGGTACGGCCCAGCACACAGTAGGCACTGAGTCTTTCCCGGCTGACAGCGCCTGGGCCCATGGAGGTCAGTCAGGCGCCGTCCAGAACCTCAGCAGCCCCGCGGCATCCTGCCGTCACCTCTGGGTCAGGCGTACGCAAGCACGTGCGAGGGGGGCTTTGCAGCGTGCCTCCCAATGCACAGCACAAGTGGGCCTCTCTTCTGTCCCGCCGTCCTCGACAAGCATGACCCGACCCCACCCCGAGGAGGCAGTCACACTCACAGCGAGCTGGATGGCTAGGTTGTCAGCCACCTTGTCCAGGAGGGCGGTCGTGGGCTTCTCCTTACAGAGCAGCACCAGCTCTAAATCCAAGTCCCCCTTGAGCAGCAGGCCCTTTGCCACGAGGCCCACGCGCATCACGCCACGCAGGGTTCTGGTCATGTGCTCCGTCTTCTGCTCCCTGAGGGACACACAATGCATGCTCAGTGAGGGAGTCCACGCAGCCAGAACCCAGAGTCCCTGGAAAGGCTGGAGTTTCTTAGAAAAGGAGATGCTCACTCTGATGCTGGCCAATCTCTCCGAAGGCTCCCCGCCCTCCCGAAACCGCACACGTACCCAGCCCCTTCTTTGGCCTCCTCCTCCGCGGGCACGTCCACATTCTCAGACTCCGCATGCTCGCTGCTGCCTTTCTCCTGTTCGTCTATCCAGTCGGACACGGCCTTGAGCGCCCTCTCTGTGTGCGACACCATGTTCTGGACCGCCTCCAGTTCCTCTTGGGTCGGATAAACAGAAGAATGCTTTGCCATCACATGGCGATCGTCATTCACAAAAATTCGCATTGGACGCTGGAAATGTGAACACTCAGTTTAAAACCTTGCAAAGACACCAAGCCCCCCTCCAGGTATCTTTCAGGCTGCCCGACTCAGAATTCTGCCTTATCACTTGTGTCAGAGTAGGCTGAGAAGCAGGACAACCAGATGGAACAGCTGTTCATTCCGGAGGCAGCTGAGAGGGGCCACACTCAACCTAACCTGAAACATTTGTATGTGTGTCTGTATCTGTATGCATGTGAGCTCTGACACGATGTAGTAGTATTTTGTAATTCAAAAAGTCTAATGAAAAAATAGGAGAATCAAATGCCTTGGGGAAATGCCACATCTCTGAATATCATGAATAAAGAAGTATGATTAAAAAAAACTTACCATCTTTACTTCTTTTTTCTGTAGTGTCTGGAAATCAAATGTTTGCTTATCTTTTCAAATTGTGACAGATTTCCTTGGTGTTATCAATACTTCAACTATCTATAAGATCAGAAAATCTTTTTAGTTTCAAATATTTCATAGATGGATGAATTTTAGCAGCCAGATACTGAACAGGATGAAGGACAGTGGTGCAGCCACAGGAAGGGGCCCTGTTAACCCAGGACACATTTTTATTCCAAGGAGTCACTGCTAAGCTGAGGTACAAACAACTAATTATAAAATCCCATAAAAATGAAAACAGACCGACTTCCCACCCACATCCAGTAAATTTCTATTTCATCTCCTTTCATCTTTTTTTTAATGTAAAATATGCCAGTTTTTACAAATATAGACAAAAAAAAATCAAAAACCCATGAGCCTCCAATAAATGTTCAGCAAACTCTTGGTGCTTGAAGAAGGAAAAGAGAGGGAAGGAGCTCTCGTCTTTGAAGGTAATGAAAAAGACGGAAGGAAAGCAGGAGACAGAAAGCCAGATTCTGTACTAGAAAGGCAAGAACCTTCTGCAACATCAGGTGGACGTGACCGTGGCTCCACGTGGCCACACCTGTGCGTTCCGTTTTGGAGAGGCCGAGAGAACGCAAGTGCGCGACAGAAGCCTCAGGACAAGCACAGCTGTAATTACCATCTTGGGCTCTAAATAACAGGCTGACTACAACCTACTCAGTTCCCACTCTGTGCAAACAGTCTGGTCCACAATGAAATCTTCCAAATGAGTAAACAACAACAACAATATCCATCAGAGTAATACACAACAGAAGAATGCGCACATCCCATCCAACCACACAACAGCCAGCTCCTTCAGTCTTGGTCAGTCACCAGCCAGGGCGGCAGGCCCCACTTGGAAAGGCACACATTTCAAGGACAAACCTGGACGTGATGGACCAAAACAAGAATTTCCCACAATGCTTCAGGACTACCTAACAACCTAACTGCAAATCTGCAGGTTTCAAAGTGGAACTATAAAGCTGAAAGGTGGAATTAGAGGGGGCTACAGACAAGCGGGGGTCAAAGGCTATGCTGTGGGAGGGCTGGGGAGAGGAGTGAACCTCTGGGCTCCGCTCTGTCACCAAATGGGAGCTTCCGCACACATCTAGGCTTGCCTGTCCAGCCACTAGCCATGTGGCCCTCAAGTTTCCTTGTTCCTTCTACACCTGTGACCCAGATACGGCCCCTCTACCTTTGCAGGAGGATTGAAAATTAAACAGGTCAACCCACAGAAAGCAAGCAGCACAAACCCCATGGACCCTTCGCAACGGCACCAACTTCTTCTACCAACGAGATCTCCATTTGCCAGGTTGCCCTGGGAGGCTAAGCAGTGAGTGACACACAAAGTGCATCCCGTATGAAAAAGTTCCCATTCCTTCACTTGGGAACATGGATATCAAGGCTGTGTTCAAAAAGAATGCTTTACCTGTTAGGCAGTATTTAAGATAAATTACCATTGCAAGTACATTCCTGGTATCTGCTCTACAACACCCCAGGGAGGCAGGCGGTGGAGATGGGGACGGAGATAAAACGGGATGGTGCAGTGCTGACCACTGCTGAAGCTGGGAGACGGGTATGTTGGGATTCACTTGTGATGTCTGAAAACTGCCATCCCGGTTTTTTCTTTAATTGCAGAACGGACTTACGTACTCCTTATAAAAGCGCAGCCACGGCAGGTCATTCAAAAATTCAACCAACACTCAGATACCCAGAATCTCAACCGAGAAGCAGACTCCGAGAAATTACAGCCCACTGGAGACACGGCCATGCCAGACGGCCCCCACTCCTGGCCACGTCGACGCCGGGACCGCATCCTTCTGAGTAGTGAAGGCTGATGCTCCAACCGTGCTGATTTACTCAACACGTATTTAGCACGTACTTTCTCCACACAAAGCCCCAGGGTTGGCTTCCAGGACAGTGACAGACACGTCAGACAAGGGCCTTGCCCCTGTGGACCTGGCTGGCTGGCACAATGTAGAAAAGAAACTCCTGCCTTCCGAGCCCAACAAGGTGCCAGGAGCCAACATCTCACCGCACACTTACCAGCTCCCTGTGCTACGCTCCGCCGCCACCACGAACATCAAATGCGGAGACTTTAAAAACAACAGAACTGGGGCGCCTGGGTGGCTCAGTGGGTTGAGCCGCTGCCTTCGGCTCAGGTCATGATCTCAGGGTCCTGGGATCGAGTCCCGCATTGGGCTCTCTGCTCAGCAGGGAGCCTGCTTCCCTCTCCCTCTGCCTGCCTCTCTGTCTACTTGTGATCTCTCTCTGTCAAACAAATAAATAAAATCTTAAAAAAAAAAAAAAATAAATAAAAACAACAGAACTTAAACCAAGGCTTCAGAAGGCTAAGAGTTTTTCATTCCAGGTTTTACAGACCTGATATTGTCTAACTTTCTAAAAGGAGCTCCCCAGAGAGATGGCTGATTCAGCACCTCACCCCGGAACTGTGGGAGCCTGGTCATTTGCACATCAGAAAGCAAGGAAGCAGGGCGCCTGTGTGGCTCAATCTTTTAGCGCCTGCCTTCAGCTCAGGTCATGATCCCAGGCTTCTGGGATCGAGCCCCACATCAGGCTTCCCACTTGGTGGGAGACCTGCTTCTCCCTCTCCCACTCCCCCTCCTTGTGTTCCCTCTCTCTCAGTGTCAAATAAATAAATAAATAAATAAATTTTTAAAAAGCAAGGAAGTGCTTGGACATTAACACAAGTCCAAAGGACAAGGAGTTGACTTGTAAAGGTTCCCATCAGCTACATTTGGAGCAATGGAATACAAAAGGAAAAAAAAAAAAGAAAGAAACATAAAATGCAGGGCGCCTGGGTGGCTCAGTGGGTTAAGCCTCTGCCTTTGGCTCGGGTCATGATCTCAGGGTCCTGGGACCGAGCCTCGCGTGGGGCGCTCTGCTCAGCAGGGAGCCTGCTTCCTGTTCTCTCTCTGCCTGCCTCTCTGCCTACTTGTTATCTCTCTGTCAAATAAATAAATAAAATCTTTAAAAAAGAAAGAAAGAAACAAACAAACATAAAATACTGCCATATGTATGAAGTTCCAGAACAGCCAAACTGCTCAGCAGTTGCCCCGGACAGGTGGTGGCAGGGACATCTGGGAAGGGTGCTTTCAGAGTGACGGTCACGGTCTACATCTTGGTAGGGATGGAGCGTACGCAGTGGTCAAAATTAAACGGTATAGTGAACATGTGTGCATTATTTAAAACAAAACAAAACAAACAAAAAAAACCCAACTATAACTAAATACTGGACTCTAGTTAATACTTAGATAGTATTGCAGATAGTACTGCAATTTTTGGCCACTCTGAAAGGCATCATAAGGATAAAGTGGATTATATGCCAGAGGCATCCAGCAGATGCATACATAAATAAAAGTGAACTGAACAATGACCAGAACAGACGGAGAGATGTATGAGACAAAACTGGAGCCAAATGTCCACGGCAGAACCTAGGCTATACCCACAGGCAGCTGCTCACTTTAAAACTCTGTCACCTTCGGTGTATATTTGAAAATTTTCATCCTAAAACATTATAAATATATAATCAAAACTGATTCCGCACCAAAAATGTACATAAAAGCTCGAGTCTGTAATAATACTTAATAAAACCCCCAGAACCTAACTTGCCACCACGGGAGGGGTCCATCCCAGCTCCCTACTCTGAAAATGGTGAAGAGGGACTGAAGCCCGCCCACAGCTGAGGTGGGCATCGCAACTCAGAACGAACGCCATCCGACAAAGAGAAACAGGGAGTAGAAGATCACTCTTCTACCAATGGGTAAAAAGATACTGTGTCACGGGACGCCTGGGTGGCTCAGTGGGTTAAGCGTCTGCCTTCAGCTCAGGTCATGATCCCAGGGTCCTAGGCTTGAGCCCCACATCAGGCTCCCTGCTCACTGGGGAGTCTGCTTCTCCCTCTCCCTCTGCCTGCCACTCCCCCTGCTTATGGGCACAGGCAATGGTTCTCTCTCTTTCAGGCAAATAAATAAAATCTTAAAAAAAAAAAAAAAAAAAAAAAAAGATTGTGTCAAAGGAAATGAGCCCATCAAAAGTACCTCACAGACATACACACGCCCCCAAATGCACCTGCCATCCAGCATGGAGGCCTCCATCTGCCGCCTTCACCATTAAAACTGGAACGTGGGTGCACCTTTGCTGAGGCGGCTGCAGCCCCTGATCTTCCTCTGCTCCGAGCGGCAGGCCCCAGAAGGAACCCCTGAAGAGACCCACTGGGCTATGACTGGCTGTGACCATCACACCTGGCCCACACCTGTGGAACATTCAGCCCTGGAGCCCTCCTCCTTTAGACCGGGCCTTGGTGGTGATGCCTCCTGACTCAGGGGCACAGAATTATATGAGCTAAAACAAACGCTAAAAACTGGAGACAATGCTCCTTTGCAGGGCAGCAAATCCGGTCTCCGTTGTCTCTATGAACCCGGATCCGTCATCCCAGCCGGCTTTTTCAGAAGCCAGCTGCTCTGGTCTTGAATACCAGGGCATCCAACTCATTAACAGACATAGGGGTCTTCTGGGCAAGCAGAAACCCCCTTTCCAAGATTTTTAGCGAAGAACACTGTTGGCGGGAAGCCCCCAACACCCACCTACCCATAAGCAACACTCCACTGGCTCGTACCAATCAAACTTTAAACAGAAGACGCTCCTGCAACCACCTTTATGATTCAAAACTGGGGCATAAGGAAGCCCAATTTTTCCCAGCCCAGCTTCTATGAAAAGAAGCCAAAGCAAGGAACGGCTGGAGAGTGAAGAACCGGGGTTTTAAACGTGAACTTTGTGTGGCTGGGGATGTTCTAACAGGGATCAGGTTTCTTTCTTCTCGAATCCAGCCACTCACAGCATGCAGAGTTATGGAAGTTTAAACCACAAAACCTTTCTCTTGCAGTGTGATGACCACCTCTCTGACCTCTTGCTAATTAGAATGTGACATATGTAGCACTTGCTGTTGGAAAAAGAAACACGCCCACATCAGCTGCGTGGATCAACAACTGTTTATAGAATGAATGGACAGGTGTAGTGGCAACGCCCTCACAGGT